GAGCTTGCTATTTTTAAGGCTGTTTTTAAAACACTTGAAAGTATTCAGTGAAATAATTTCTGTGGGTTTTTTTCTTTTCTTTGACTGACTCCTTAAAAAGCTCTGGAAAACAAATACACAGGAAAAAAAATGAAAATATGTTAAAATAAGGAATAAAGCAGTTACTGAAGTGTAATAATCCCGGTTTATAGCACACTTTCCATTTAAATTGTTTTTATTAGAGATAAACCTGTTAAGCGTTGAGGAATTAAGTGCTGAATAGAGAAGGTTGTTTCACTGCTGTATAAATGAAGGATCCCAGTATGCAGAAAAAGAATATGGCTGGTTTTACAAGTGAATTATTTGCCAGCTTGAAGGGCTCTGGTTAGTTTGGCATCTGTTATAAAAATGATGATTTGTTTTTTGTCAAGAGGGATACTATTTTTTTCAGAGGGGCAAGAGAGATTTTAGCAGTGGGGTTTGTAGGTACTGTGAGCTTTCTCTTCGTCCTTACGCTTGGTTTGCTAGAAGGAGCTCAAGGAGAAAATGAGGCAGAAAGATTTTCGGGAATTTCTTGGCACTGCTAGTGATACACAGACTTTTGGCATGCAGCACTTTGGGACAATATGGAGAGGGAACAGCCTGCAACTCCAAGTATCAAAAGTTAATAACGGTGTGAAGCTCTCCTCATTTGGGAGGGCTGAGGGGAAGAAAAATTCAATATACCGCTAAGTCTCAGCATCTCCTTTCAGACAGCTGGTCCTGGAATATTTCATTCAAAGACTGCAAATTGGAAGTCCTCACAATTGCTCTGTCGATTCTTGAGCAAAGGTGACTTTGGGAATTCATGACAGCAGAGGAAGGTCTTGTTTTATTCACTCAAAAGAAGTGAAATACAAGGGGAAAGGAGAAAGACCAGATCTGTGCAGAAAATGTCACTTGGGCTGTAACCTGAGCCTTAGCAAACTGTTCCTTTGGAGGGTTTGGTGACCCTCCGAAAATCCTTGCTCTCTGGCTGCTATTATTGTAGCCAATTTCCAACTAAAATAAGTCTTTTGTCATCACCAGCCATGCCGCCTCTCGCTGAGAAGAAACAAAACTTGTGCGTGGCAGCGAGGGCGGCCAAGCTGAAGGTCAGAGTGCAGAGGCAGATTGCTGCATCCCCAGGGCTGGGGCTGGATCTCACCCGTGGGACTGGCGATGCACCAACCAGGGAGACTGCCAGTGACCTCTGAGGACAGACCCCAGGCCAGAAGCCTAAGAGAAAACATCCTAGTAAAATGCAAATTGGAGAAAATAGGCTTTCCTCCTCTGCTTTAGGGTTATGCAGGTGGAATAGCTGGGATTTTCTTGCTTTTTGAGATATGGTGGAAAGCACAATCTCATGTATTCAAAAGGGCAAGGAAAAGTTAACTTGAAAAAAATAATAAATACTTTAAACTTCTGGTTTTGACCAACTGTTCAAACGTTCCTCCATGCCAGATCCCTCCCTTAAAAAAAAACCAAAACAAAAACAAACAAACCAACAAACAGGCAACCCAAAGCATTGTTTTACAGAGTTCTTGGCCCTCCGTGGGCAGGCAGATGGGTACAACTTGTACACTGAGGGATCTCATGGTGTTTGTGCCACTACTGATTCTGCTCCTTGGAAGACAAAACCCAAGTCAAAAAACCCCTTCCACATTGGAACAAAGGTACCAATGCATAGAACACTGGTATGGGAAAAAATATTTTATGTAAGTCTTTGAGCATGTGTGGGTCTTTACTCACATAAGTAAGGTTATGCAGCTGTTTTAATCATTAACTTAAGTTTTATGCTTAGTTGTATTTTGACAGCACTCTATTTGAGTAGCACTTAATGCACAAATATGGTTTTTAGGTCCTGTTTCCTCTGAACTTCTAAAAATTAGAGTGCTTTAGGATTTCTTTTCCTTAAAACAGGTTAATGTGAACATTCAGGAAAAGGAGCAGTGAGATTTTTCCTGTTAGCTTTTCTGTTCCATCATTTTTGTTGGTGCTATGTCAGCCTGGAGCTTTGGAAATTCAAAGAGTGATCAAAAGATCTTGGCCCTTCTATCAAGGAAAAAACCAAAGTATGAAGAAATTATCGCCATGCCTGTATATTTCTGCAGCAACAGCTAATTTGCAATTTTGCTTGCAAAGTGTTCTCAAATGTGATTTATAAACATAACAGCACTGCATTGTGCTCTCTCCAGGCAAGCCACATTAATAGTTTTAATCTGATGGGTTCTTACAAATTCCAGGTTTGGGTTGCAGGAAGAAACTTGAAAGTGAATACTTTCTTTTTTTTTTTTTTAAATGCATAGTGGTTTGGAGTCTACTCTAATGCAAAGTAAAGCGTTCTGTTACAAAGGCAGGGAGGATGGGACAGAAGGTTAAAGGGCATCCTGGAAACAAACAGCTGGACCAGTTTATTTAAACAGATACAAGGATGGGGAGCTGACCTCCGTTTGACTTCTAGTGGGAGGAGCGAGAATGTCATTTTATTACTTTGCCCAGAAGGAAAATGTTCTTGCGTCTGAATTCCCCCCGAAGACATCCAAACACTGGGCTGTTTGGCAGAATTGCTACTTATAGAAAATACTTACATGAATGCGTAGGAAGAATATAACTATTAAGTACCTGTGTGTAAAATGTTCTTAAAGCAGATATCCTGAGCGATAGCATGGGGCAAACAGGTGAGAATATGTTTGACTGCAGGCACGTCTTGTGGATAATTATTGCTAAATTCTATGCAGTTTATTATTCTAGCGATACCATTTATTATTGACCTCCCTTCCTATTAAAAGCACTTGTAGTTTGGAGGAGAAGGAAGAGAAGGTTCTGAAGTTAGGGTGCGCATGCTTTATGTTGCTCAGGGTTTCTTTGGGGTAAAAGCTTTTGGCAAATGAGGGTGTCGGTGACCAACCAATCTCACTGCTATCAAAACCCCTTCCCTCCTGCCACAGTAACAGGTCCTGGCAATCAGACAGGAGAAGGATGGAGTAAACACAGCAAGAGACTGCCAGGCTTGCAGAAAGAAATGGCTGGGGCACTGGGGTTTTGTGTTGTTGTTTTACTTAGGAGAGTTACTGTGAAAATTGCTTTCTGCAAATGCAGATTAGAGATATTAAACAATTTTCTAATTGGTCATGGAGCTAAGGCAGCTAATGGGGGAAAAAAAGCAGATTTTTTTTAATTGCTTATTTTGCATGGTGTTTGTGCTACACCTGTGCTTATAATGAGAAAGGAGAATTAGTCTAACCTTCTGCTCACATGATTCTAATTTTCATGGTTTGTACAAGATAATGATAAACTGATTTGCAACACCATTTGCTGGAGTTGAGGTTTTTTTTTCCACTGGAAATGTGTAGAAAAATTGGTCCAATACTGTTGCTGACAAAACATGACCTAGTTCAGGTGTAAGGTTTCCAGATCGGCACCCATAATTGGTGCCTTTGAGCCCATTTTCTCGAGACAGGTTTGATTAGGACACAACACCTTGATTAATTTTTGCCTGAGTTTGGTAACAGGAGTCAGACAGGGATGGGAGATAGGAAGAGACCAAAATCACTGTCCTTGTCTTTGACGAGGGCAAAACAAACAGCACGGGGTGGTGGCTTGCGATTCTTCTCCCCACTGGTGTAGAGGAATGGGTGGGCAGAGACGATTCCCACAGGAAGGTCCTGACGGATTTATCTCTGCAGCAGATGCCACCTCAAGCAAAGGCAACAAAACAAGCACCAAGTAGCCCTTTGTGGACTTTACCATTGTGTTTTGCGAGTGTAGCGTGGTTTTACTCACACTCACGCTTCTTCCTTTACTAGTAAATATTGTGGCATACACGTATTTATTATTCTTTTTCTCTCTCATAAAGAATGTAAAGTCCTGTTATGAGGCTTTGCTGTGATTAAATCTCAATGGAGATGTTTTCCAAATGGTTTTTAACTAAGCTTTCTGATGAGCAAAACCACAAGAGAAGTTCTTCTAATGCTCTTCAGACGGGTTCCCAGCCCTGGTTTTGAGCCTCCTCATTTCAGCGTCACGAGGACTGCCTGCAGAGGAGACCAGGGCACTTGTGATCCCTCTTCTTCTTCTGTTTTGCTCCAAATTATTTTGAATATTCCGTTCCTAAATCAGCGTTGCAAGACTAACTGAGGCAAAGAGCTACAAAAATGCAAGGAGTACAGTTGCAGATGGCTATTTTTAAAAACGGCTGTACCTTTTTTTTTTTTTTTATTTCCAAAGATCTGCTTTTCATTGTTCAGGGGGAATTTTCAGTAGTCCAGTAATTACAGTTTAACAAGATGTTTGCTGTAAATGGTCAGGCCTAGCTGGAGAAAACAGGATTATAAATTCAATTACTGTAAAGCTATGACCTCGCCTTGACCCCTCAGACTTTGCATAAAGAGAGAGGGGGGGAAAAAGCCCACCAAGAAATGGCTAGGAGGAATGTATGGCTCTGAAGTCCCCAGCAGTGTGACTTAGCGGTGATAAAACTCCAGACGTTCCCTCATTTGATGGGGTTCTGCCATCACAGTTCATTATCTTAATAGTGGGCATTAAAGGGGAATTAGGTTTGCAAGAGGTAGGGGCAGGTTTTGATAAAAAAAGAAATTGGAAAAAAGAAGTCGGAGGACATAAGGCAGAAATGGCTCTAATGAGGGGGAGGTAGCAGATGCCCTCATGAGCATCTCGCCAGCTTCACCCATTTTTTTTTTTTTGTTTGTGTCCCATTCTGAATTGAGAAGAGCGTTGCTGGTATTGTTTCCTGAAAACTCGGCTAATTCCCCCATGAAAAGATGAAATGGAAGTGTCTGACTGTGGTAGAAAGCAGGCAAACATAAATCAGCTTGGAAACCCCAAGCTCGTGCTCTCAAAGGTCATCGGGGTTAGAGGTTTTGCAGTATTTGCATCCACACGCAGCCCAACGGAGAGCACGGTGGCAAAGCAAGAGGGCTTGGGGATGGGTGGAAGTCATCCCCTTCAATAACCGTTTGCTTTCCTCTTTTTTCTTGCAGGTTTATTAATGCTAGAAGAAGAATAGTTCAGCCCATGATAGACCAGTCCAATCGAGCAGGCAAGTCCCCAGTAGTAACTATATTCAAGTCACGCAGGCAAAAACCCATCCTTGAGCCATTCACCAGGAGGTCTATTACCTGGTAAATAAATGAGAAATGAATGCTGGGAGTGATTGACAATTAAAATACAAGCAGCTTTGTTTCATTATGACCCTAATCATTTTAACATGATTAAAACATTTTGAGGAGAAAAGACACTGAAAATTAAAAAAAAAAAAGAAACTAAAATGATCTGCTCCATGACCGGACTTTCTGTACATGTTCAGGATTAAAGCGGTTGGGAGTTTTTTTAGTAGTTGTTTTGAGTTTTCCTTCCGAGCTCTTTCTGCTCCTGTGACCACTCCCTGGTGCATGGCTTGGTGTGGAATTGCTGTAAACTTTATTACCTGTCAAAAGGGCAAGGGGGTCAGAATCGCTTATGGGACTCAGTAAAGTTCAAAGACATTCAATGAGGTAGAGCTTTATGTGCTTTAATAACCCAAGGCAGCTTACTTCTGAAGCTGGCTTTTAATGTACAGTTAAAACCTCAAGTTCAGGTAGTGGTACTTGTATAGGGTCCTTTTGTCCCTTGTCTCTTCGGTTGCTGTCTTTTGAGATCACTTGAGTGTTTGGGGGTTTACTTTAGGGGGATCTATTTTTAATTTTTAAAAAAAGCTTGAGCTTTCACATGCTGGTTCTGTCTGGGATCTTGGCTCGCAGCTCTGTGTGGGTATTTACCATTGAGGAATAGCCCGTTACTCCCAGTTGATTTTGTTTTCCAAGTCTCACTGCCAAACAATCCAAATCCATCGTTGTCCAAGATGCCTTTGGGCCACACTTCCTCTTTGAGTACATTCAATTATTTTGTCATTAGAGGTAAATATCTGGCACGGACGTGTTCAGGTCCTGCTCTTAGAAAGGCACACGGGTGTAATTTAACACACTGCGATTTCAGTGTGACAATTCCAGCCATAAAATCCAGCTCCTATACAGGTCTTTGCATTGACGTCAGCAGTGGCAGCAGCTGGAACTGGGTCTCCTCGTGTCTCGAGATTTCAGATTGCTAACTTCATTCCAAAACTCACAGTTAGGAAATTAAGCCAAAACTAAGAAAGCTTGTTAGCCCAGCCGCTAAATTTGAACGGTAGATGTTTTCCCCTCTTTTTAGAGCCAGCATCGATTGCTGTCTCACGCAGTTGGGGGTGTGGGTGTGTGTGTGTGTTTTGATGTTGTTGTGAGAAGGGGTGACTCTTTTGGCTGTCACTGAAAAGCAATGATTCTGCGCTTTTCCAGTAAGTCAAGGAACACCCTATAACCCTGACGGGCAGCCGATGGGAGGTTTTGTGATGGACGGCCAGCAGCACATGGGCATCCGAGCACCAGGTAAGATCCCGGGGAGTGTCACCCACCGATGGGTGACCTCATTTGTGCCACCACAGGTAACTGCACCTCCACCCTCCACCATCATCTCAGCTGCCTGCCTTGCCTTGCCTGTCTTCTGCCTGCCTTCAACACCACCAAGGGGAACCAGGCATCTTCTCACTTGAGTGGTCCTGGACCCTCTGCCATGCTGTGTTTTGGAAAGGGGCTTTTGGCACTATCTGTTGACTTTGCTCATTCTCTGGCATCTTCTTGGATTTTTATCTCCCTCTAGGACCTATGAGTGGAATGGGCATGAATATGGGCATGGAGGGGCAGTGGCACTACATGTAACCTTCACCTAGGTAACCAATGGCAAAGCCAGGGGGAAGTAAGTACAAACGGGGTCTTTGTTCTCACTTTGTCCGAGGGATATTTGTCTCCTTGCATTTCCCTATGTTCTCCCTGCCCATAGCCTCATGCTTGTTCCTTCCTTTCCATCCATCCATCCTACGCATGGGCTCCTTCGGGTTTCTCTCCCTCCAGTTCAGCTCAAGCTTTCCAACCTCCCAAGCCCCCCATGCATGCATGCGCCGTATATTGACGCCGCCGTACATTGACGCCGCCATACATTGATGCTATTATCCATCCTCGAGCACATGACAAAACAAGAAGCAGCCAGGGAGGTGGGGGAGCCCGTCGTCTTGGCAACAGACTGATTTGCAAAATGTAAGCGGTCTGCAGCAGCGCAGGGAGAGGAAAGAGCATGTCCCCAAAGTGTCATAAATCTGTCTAACCGCAGTTGATGCATGAGTTACATTTCTCCCGCTAACCTGCAAGACACCAAAAAAGCCAGAGACTTCTTGTAGGTAAAAAAAAAAAAAAAAAACCAAACCCAAAAAAACAGGCAGCTTCACTTAGTTGCATTTTGGAAAACAATGGACGAAACTTTGATTTTTTTGATTTTTTTTTTTTTTTTCAAGTTTATTTCTCTTTGTCTGTCCGTCATAATGGGATTACGTGTGGCAAAGGAAAAAGAGAGAATACAAAATAGAGGTGTGCGCAGCAGGCTATGGAGCTTAGCCCAGGCTAATTGACTATATCCAAATTAAGTATGCCATCACTTGCAGTGTGACAAATGGATTTGACTTATTCAGTATACAAAAATAGAGATCATTAATGCAATCTTCAGTGGCAGGCCTTGCAAAGAAAGCCTAGAAAAACTGTCCCAGTTTTTTTTATTCCCCCTCTTGTCTTTTTATAGGGGAAAATACATTATACAAATTTTGGTTGTGGTTTCTTTTTTTTTAAAAAGAGTAAAGTGGTTTGAAACACTAAGGCACCAGTACCATGTTTTAATGGTGCCCGATTGTGTTCCTCTCACTGTCTTTCTGGAGTTAAAAGCAGTTATTCTGGCATCTTTGTTGTGCCCCCAGCCTATATTAACATAGGGTTTGAAGTTACCCAGTCCAAGCGTATTTCATAGTCGTCTTCTCTGGGCATGAGTCAAAACTAAGTTTTAACAATTAGCTGTGAAAACATTCCTCTGAGCTTGGGAATGCAACAGCCTTATTACCTCATCATGGAAATTTCTAGCTTAGTTAATTTAAATATTGTTTCTTAGTTTCTGGGTCAATTAAATTTAAATGATGTATTTTATGCTTCGTGACCAATTAAATTAATAGGTTATTACAAAAAATATTATCATCTTTTTTGATTAAAGAGCTGTGAGTACAGTATATTTTATAAGCAATTTTCATTAGTTCAAAACTGTTCCTTTAGGCTAGATTAAGCAGCTATTCATTGCTAGAGCCTTGAGACCTGATTCCAAGGTGTTCAGTGCATTCACAGTGCGCTCTTACTTAGAACTAAAGCCAATTGAACCTACTTAGCAATAGCGTATGCCTTTCACCCTTGATGATTATGGAGCTTATAGCTCTCCGAAACAATACACCTGTCAGTTCCCATCAGCTACAGCAATCCAAGCAGAAGGCAGAGGCCCACAGAAAGCAGGAGGTTTTATTGTTTTAGGTCCAATTTTTTTCTTATTGTTCTCCCAAACCCACTGAAACGTTGACTGAGTTGCACGTCTGATTTTTTTGGGGGGACAGAAGTGAGCAGGGGGAAAGGATTAATTGATAACTGTTATTGATTTATATATATATATATATATATATATATATATATATTTAATGTGTTTAAAAACACAGGTTTGATTTAACAGTCATCCTTAGTAATCCTATCAATTTCAGCTTCATATGAGGCCTTTGTTCAGCAATGTATGTGCTTGCTGTAAAGAGTCCGTTTGAATGGCACAAATACTTGGGACAGATTCCAAGCGATCAGGCTCGAGAGCTAAATAAATAACTGTTGATAAACCTCGACACCAATTTAACCCATCTCTTGTCCCAAGCCTGTCGTTAACTATTACAGAATCCCTGCCTTGTTTTCCCAGCATGCTTTTACAAGCAGGGAGACGGAGGCGGGTAGCTAGAGCAAGGCCATGGGGGATGGAGCCCACCTGAGAGCGCTCTTACCTGGCTTTGTGCCACCACCTCGTGTGACATTAGTCGTCATCAGGCTGGTTCTGCCTCTCGTGTGCTTCCAAATCAGAAGCACCTCCATCGCATACGTTCCTAGCCATAAAAGCAGAAAGCGGTTTTATCTCCCAAAACTCTGTATTTCAAGGGGGGAGGAGGTTCTTGGTTTTCCTTTTTTACCTGAGAATCTTTCCCGTTGACATCATTGTGAGTCCATATGTAGGCTTGGATCCCACTGCCCTCGTGCACCCGTGACTCCATATCTCACCTTTGGCTCGAACCCGACCTTCCCATGCCCGAGCAGAGGAACTTCACGGCCTGATGTTGGTCACTGGTCCCCACCACTCACCGCCACCTCTTTCTCTCCGCAGGGCTGCAAAGTATGCCAGGGGATTATGTGTCTCGGGGTAGTCCAATGGGTATGAATATGGGACAGCCAAGCTATACCCCACCCCAGATGCCCCCCCATCCCGCTCAGCTGCGTCATGGCCCCCCCATGCATACCTACATTCCTGGACACCCTCACCACCCAGCGATGATGATGCATGGAGGACCACCCCACCCTGGAATGCCCATGTCAGCATCAAGCCCCACAATGCTTCATACCGGCGAGCCGTCAGTAAGCGGACAAGTGATGGACATTCATGCTCAGTAGCTTAAGGGAAATACGCGTTGTCTGCAGCGACGGTAGATTTCAAACATTGTCTTTCTGCAATGACTATGGAGTTCTTGGCGTCAACTTTGGACCAAGGGACGTTCCAATTCTTCACAGGGACCCTGAAAAGCAGGAAAACACCAACCGAAGTCAACTTCTGGGGACATGCTAAATACCTATATAAGACATTAAGAGAACAAAGAGTGAAATATTGTAAAATGCTATTATACTGTTATCCATATTACGTTGTTTCTTATAGATTTTTTAAAAAAAATGTGAAATTTTTCCACACTATGTGTGTTGTTTCCATAGCTCTTCACTTCCTCCAGAAGCCTCCTTACATTAAAAAAAGAAGCCTTACACTTATCCTGCAAATGACAGAAAGGGCTTATTTGCAGGATTTTTAGAGCATTAAAATAACTATGTCAGGCAGAAGAATCTTTCTTCTATCCTAGGATCTCAGCCATGCACACTCTCTATCTCTCTCCTCTCTCCTCCTCTCTTTCCGTCTGTCTTTCTTCCCTTTCTCTCCCTTTCTCCCTGTCTCTCTCCCTCTCTCTCTTTCTAGCCTGGGGCGTGAATTTGCATGTCTAATTCATTTACTCACCATATTTGAATTGGCCTGAACAGATGTAAATCGGGAAGGATGGGAAAAACTGCAGTCATCAACAATGATTAATCAGCTGTTGCAGGCAGTGTCTTAAGGAGACTGGTAGGAGGAAGCATGGAAACGGAAAGGCAGTGTATTTGAAGCCTAATTGTCACATCAGAGCATCCTTGTCCCCATACAGCAACCACCACCTTGTACATCACTTCCTGTTTTATGCAGCTCGAAACATGGACTGAAGATTTATTTTTAATATGTTGACTTTCTTTCTGGGCAAGACATCAGTCATGTGTGCATTTTTTTTCCATAGTCCCATCATGGAGCATTTATGTATACATTGTAAATAAATTTTGTGCAAAAAGGACTGGAAAAATGATCTGTATTATTGCAATTTTTTGTAAAAGTAGCAGTTTGGTATGAGTTGGCATGCATACAGATTTACTAAGTGGGATAAGCTAATTATACTTTTGTTGTGGTTAAACAAATGCTTGTTGATAGCCTTTTTCTATCAAGAAACCAAGGAGCTAATTATTATTAATAATAATCATTGCACACTGAGTCTTAGAGTTTCTGATTGAAACAGTTTGGATTGTATAATAACTCAAAGCCCAGTTGTAGTAGTTTGAGTGCAGTAATGAAATCTGAATCTAAAATAAAAACAAATTATTTTTTGTCATGGTGACTCCACTGCTTGCAAAATTTGTTTCCTGCCCCCTTTCAGTATTTGTAGCCATTCTATCCCAAATTGGGAGCTGAGCAGCTACAAAATTTGGCTAGCTCTGGAGATGTACATACCATTTGCTATTTAAATATCAGCTTCATATTTAAAGAATGTAAAAGTAATGCTACGCTACATAAAAAAAAAAAAAAAACAAAAAAAAAAACCCAAACCAACTTTCTCAGAACTTGCACTGTAAGTTGTCAGGATGGGAACTGTTGCTGTTAATAAATATAATATTGTAGGGCATTATCAGACAAAAAAATTTAACTAGTGTTACACCCACCCCACCTCCCCCCCGGCCAAATTACAGTTCTAATACGTAGTTTAAATTATTCAAGCCAGTGACATCCTCCATGTCTTTCTGGAACTGAACATATTAAGGAAGGAGGAAAATAAAACTTGGAAAACATTGCCCGGGCGATGCATATTTGTAAGTAAATGACGTTATTTGTGTGAGGGGCTGCTGGACCTCTGCAAGCGGAGGCTGGTGCAGGCCGTCCTCCCCTCATTAACCAATTTCCTCGCACAGCTGTACTTTCTGCACCGTAGCCAGCGAGTTAAATAGCACCAAACAGCCTGGTAGGCTGTGATACCTTGTCGTTTTCTTTAAATAAAAAGAGTAAAATGAAAAAAAAAAAAGTTTCCCGGGGGTAGGAAAATGACACAAATATCTTAATTAAGGCAAAATCAGGTACAGCTCCCCCTCTCACCCCTGCACCCCTCCCAAGCCGGCCAGCACCCCCCGACGGGCCCCTGTCCCGGGGACGCTGCGGGGGGCTGCAGCCCCCTGGCCCGGGGTGCGCGTCCCCCCGTCCCGGGAGTTCTCCCGGGGCTGCCCCCCCCGAGCTGAGGCCGGGGCTGGGAGGGGACAGGTAGGGCAGGGCTGGGGTGCAGGCAGGGCTACGGCAGGGTGCGGGCAGGGCAGGCAGTGCAGACCTTTCTGTAT